GCAACAAACCTTACCCAACCCACCCCCTTGTCACTTGAATACTGTCCCGCAACAATCCTACCCACCCCAACCCTTCTAACTGAAATTCTGTCTTAAAACAATCTTACCCCAACTCACCACCTCCTTACCCAAATTCGGTCTTGCAACAATCTCATCAACCCCACCCCCACACGGGGTGCCCTTTGTACGACCTGTTTCTCTTTCTCTTTGTCACATATGTATCCCGAGGCAATGCAACTCTTTGTAACCATCACATCCCTACGCAAAACACAGCCTTGTACGGCCTGTGTCTCTCTCTCTTTGTGACAAATGTATCCTGAGGCAATGTGTGTCTTGGTGACAAGTGTACCCCAAGACTCAGCTTCACATTTCCTGCTTCCCTTTTTCTTGCAACAAACCTCGCCCCTTCTCACCTGGAGGCCCGGGTACTCCTCCGAGCCAGGAAGGGGCTCAGGATTGCTCAGGAGGGGGTGCCCCAATGTATGACCTATTTCTCTTTCTCTTTGGTGGCAAGTGCATCTTTGTATAACCCGGTCGTCAACGATCGCAACAAAACTCAACCCTCCTCACCTGGAATCCGGGGTACTCCCCCGCTCCACATGGAGACTCCCCGGCCGCCCCCTCGCCCGCCGCGATCGCCCGAATCCTCCCTTCGAGCAAGTTCCCGCCCTTCCTCCCCAGCACGCCGTCCGGGTCGCACACCCAGCTTCCCACATCCCTCCCGCACGCTCGAAAATCCTTCTGAGGGTCCGGGAACGACTCCGGCGCCCATCCACCTTCCGCCGCCGCCGCCGCGACGATCATCGCGAAGGCCGCCGCGGCCGCCAGCGGCATGCCGCATGGGCTGCGCTTGGCGACCATCGGCGCAGGCGGCTGAGATTTTCGCCCGGCGGGATGCAGCTCGATCGGTCGGGGTCGATTGGATCGAGGGGGGTTGGGAGATCCTCCCACAAGGAAGAAGCGGGGAGGGGGAGGTGGTTCGTGCTGTGGCGGGGCCGGCGTGTTTTGGAGGGGAACAGTGTGTGGGGACAGGTGGGGGGTGGGGGGTGAAGTACAGGCGGGGCGGGAGTTTGAGGGAAGCGGGAGTCGGCGCTGTTTTTTCAGCACTGTTTTTCTTTGTTTTCAGTACTGTTTTCCTTTTTTCATCTGCGCGGTGGGTTTGTGCTGTTTATCAGTGCTGTCTTCTCTTGAGGGAAGCCGAGATTTGGTGCACTTTCTCTTTGGAGGGAGCTGGGGTGGGCGTTGTTTCTTATACTGTTTTCTCCGGATGAGTGCGCGGGTGTGGTGCTGTTCTTCGGTACTGTTTCTTTGGAGGGAAGGTGTGATGCTGTGTTTCCGGTACTTTCTTTTGGAGCGAAGCGGGGGCTAAGGGCTATTTGTTACTGCTAGTTTCTTTCGGAGAGGGGCGCTGGTTTTGTGATGTTGGGTCGCTGACTGCCAGGCCTGTATTTTGCAGCGTAAACACAGCCTGTTTACAGTGTGCAGCCTGGACTTACGTATGTTTATGCCATTCTACGTAAGTGCGCGTAAATACACCCTGTGGGTTAACGCCGTAACGAACAAGCCTGCTGGCTCGTTCCCCGCCAGGTAAGCTGTCAGGTGGTGGCAGTCTGGGAACCGCGTCGGAAAAAAGTTGCATATCCTGGATATACATATCCAGGATATGGCCATATCCTAGGATATGGCCTCCTTATCCTGGGATATGGTGCCCATATCCAGGATATGCATATCCAGGATATGGCCATATCCCTCCATATCCCTGGATATGGCTGCCATATCCTGGATATGCATATCCGGGATATGGCCATATCCCAGGTTATTTTCCGCCGCGATACGGTCGGTACCGCACCGCGAACCGCCCCGGGCGGTACCGCCCCCGCCCCTGCGCCCGCCCCCTGAGGCCCGCCCCCAGCGCGCACCGCGCCCGGCGGGCCCCCGCCCCGGCCCCCCGCCGCCGCCCGCCCGCCCGCTCCGGCCATGGGGGCGCCGCGGCTGCCGCCGCCGCGATGATGGGGCCGCGGCCCCGCCTGGGCGGCCGCCCGCCGCGGAGGTGCGGGGCCCAAGCCATCCGCGGCGACGACGCGCATTAGGCGCCCCGGGCTCGGGCGCGCGCCAGGCCGCGGTTTTGGGTGCCCGTGGGCGGGCCCAGGGCCTCTGGGGGCGGGGCGGTGCCGGTGAAGGGGTGGGGAAGCGGGGGCGGTACCGGATCTGCCCCCCCGACTAGCCTCACCTGGCCGTGCGTCCCGGACGGCCCCCGATCTTGGACCCCGTGGCTGTCGCAAGGCGCCGCCGATCTCCGCAGCCGTGCCGTCTGGGAAGCGACTGAGCGCAGCGATGGACGCACCGCTAGGCGCTGGTTTCAGCCCAACAGCGCCGTGGCCCTGCGGGCGCTGGTTGTGTGCAGGTGAGCCGGGCTGGTGGTGGCCCGGGATGCTGACTGTGCATTCCGCATTTAAACCCCCCACCGCCAGAAACGCACAAAGCCAGCAAACCAGCTGTCGCCCGTTCGAAAAGGTGCTCCGGGACGGCGAACCCCACGGAGAGAGGCGCTGCAGGCCCCCAATTGGCTGAAGATTCTTGTCCCAGGGCGGCGGTGGGGTCCCTGGGGCATCGCTGGAGCGCTTTGCGCAGGTGGGTGGAAGAGCATGGGCCATGACGAGGCGCCGCGCGTCTTGGCGCTCCGGCCCCACCCAGGCACTGCCGGGCACCTCTCTGCGCCTGCGCACCTGGCCCTCGACACGGCCACCTCGAACCACGTGTCGCTGCCCTTTTGACCGGTCGCCAGGGCGTAGCCACGGAAACCAAGGCCAGTGGGCCGATGGCGGACGGCGGCAGAATTGGCGGGCAGGTGTAGGGCGCGGAGGGGCGATTGGGGCCAGGGACGGGGGTAGATCGGCGCGGGGGAAAGGTGCGCAGTGGTGCGGTGGGGAATCGGCGTAGGAAAGGGGAGTGGGGTGGGGCGGGGGACACACCCACAGCAAATGGGAGGGGATTGCAACCTGTTGTTTTAGTCACTAATGCAGCCTGCCCTGGCAGCTGTTTGGGTGCGTAGCACTCGCTCCCCTGCTGCTGCACCTGTTCGTTTGCACTACAAAGAAGCTTGAATGCCCCTGCCTCTATCACTTGTGAGTATACAATCACTACACAGGGTTTCTTTTAGCAACGATGCAAAATCACATGCAGCCACAACCGTTGTTCTCAGCTCCAATAGGCTCTGTAGCGAGTGCTGTTGCCCATCATGCGGCCTTCCTGGCAGTTGGAATGAATGGCGCTTACTTGCGTGCTGACCACAGCAGTGCCGGGTGGCTGTTCATCATTGTGGCAGCATCCTATACCTTAACCTCCCTGATGCCGGTGTACACTTGGGGGAATATGCTCAATGGCAATCTTGCCTGGAAGTATTGAAAGGATGCATTGAATTGTCCAATCTTCAAGGGGGCACGCTTTGTCTATTTGGATATGTTTAGCTGAATGGACATCAAGCTCAGGAGAGTCCCCAACCCTTTTGTGTTCCTTGTGTTGCATGCTCATCATCTTGAACTAGGATACCCACATCATCTTTCATAGCATGGAAGTTATATGCCTGTGACTCGTGCTTTCCACTTCCATGGCAGTTTCATAAATGGGTTGCATACCAACATGGGGTTTGTAGGGTTTGCGCCTGTAATGGATGCTGATGCTCAGGAAAAATGGAGAAGACATTGGAGAGGCGTTTGAGGATGGTGTTAGCCGGTGAGTAGAAACCTTCAGCCATGTAGCCAACCTGTTCATACTTGTTGAAACACGAGAGGTAGCAGTTGTGTGGGCCAAATGCAGTGGTTTTGTCCCCTTTTGTATTCACACGATGTGCCCAGAGGGTTGAAGGCCCTCAGTGAGGAAATGTATAGCCCTGAAGTCAGCAAATCTCCTGCCTTAATGGCAAGTGCACAGCAGCAGGTCGTGAACTCTGTTTGAGTCCTTTAGGCATTGCGCCCCACCACACCCTGCGCCTTATTGCGATTGCTGCAGAAAACATTGGCAGAATTTGTTTGTCAATTTGCATTTTGCGTCAGCCTGTTCTGCCATTGGCCAGCTTGCCACACAGTGCTCAGTTCTGAGCCTCTTTCGGTCTGTGCCACCATTGTCCAGCTTGCAGCACTTTACTAATTAAATGGTGGCCATCCAGAACATGCCAGCCATGATGTTCGCCAATGTCACCAGTACCAGCTTGACAGTCGGGGGGCTTGTGGCGATTTTTGGGCAGACATGTATGAGCTTGAGGCACGGGTGAAGGGATGAGAAGTGTGCACCCATGCACCCATGGTAGTGCAGACCCACGAGGGGCAGATCGTCGCCATCCAGATACCAACACATACCGGGCAGCGTACCTGGAGTCTCAACAAGATGGTCTCAATTCGCAGCGGACACGGCACGAGGGACATATTGCTAGGACAGTTATCCAGGTACAGTGGCAATGGAGTTTGCTATTGTTTTGCGCAGTTTTCTGTCTGTCCAAACCATAGTGAGCTGCTGAGCTTCGTTTGGCAGCTTTTCAGCAAGCATTGAACGGGGATAGAAAGGGCATATCCATAACTGTATGTTTTGAGCTGTTTTCCACTAATGAATGGCTACCAAAGGCAGAAACACTGACAGGAGAGCAAGGTGGCAGTTGCCTTGAGCAGCTTGCAGTGCTGGATACATGATTGAAAGGTGCGGCACAGCAGCTCACAATATCAGTGCTTCATAGGCATTGAATTAATTTCAGTCTCAGAGACTGCGTCGGGGTAGACAGGTGCACAGGTTTGGGGAGTGCTATGTGGGTATGCAACAACATGCAAAGTTGATTGCAGCCAGAAAAGGCAACAAGTTTCCACGTCTGGCTCCCTTCTGACTAAGAAGCAGAAGCACAACAGGTGGTCCTGTAGGGCAATCTTGCTTTCTGTCAATTTTAGCTGGGCATTGTGCATATCTAGTATTCCAAGTGGACTGTGCGGCAGAGGTAGAATGCCACAAGTTCCGGGATGACAAAGATCAAACCTGAAGTCCCTGGTGGTGCAACAAGCGATCGTATCGTGTTATTCAGTGATGGACTGCTTTTCAGGCTCTGGGCTTTCTTGGTTGCTTTCAAGGAGCAGCTGACCTTCTACAGCGTTTGCATGCTGAAGAATGAATGGCGGCTTGCTGGTAGTCAGGGCGCAATTGGGACTCAGAGAGAAATCGGTCGATTTCAGTGGTGTTTAGCTGCGTGGAGAATGGAACAAAATAGCCCTGTTGCGGTGTATTTGCGGCGCATTCCCTTTGTAAGCTGGCATTCGTCTCACTCAACCCACAGGCAGTCTGAAGAAGAATGGACATGTGATGAGAGTATGGAACCTGGCATCATATGGTTGCAAGGGATGTGTTGTGTGGCTGACTGGTCCCAAATGGGGCATTGTCATCAACACTTGGCAATCACTAGTCGATAGCTTTGGTGCTCTTCCTCTTAAATTCAGACCTGCTTGGTACTATTGCATTTGATAAGAGGAAAGTCTCCAAAATCCCCCAGTGTGGCCAAAGATGATTGTTGAATGAATGAAACATGTCACAGAATTGGCAGCCCCCTCTGGGCGGAATTGGCAATATTGTTTTCCTTGTTGCAACAGATGATATAGGAATCTTCAAAGGCAAGGTAGAAACAATCAAGAGCATGCACTAGGCATGGCAAAAAGACATGCATCAAAGGGGACCTATATAATGAGAGGTGTATAGTATAGAAAGTCCTTAAATCTTCATGTGGTGCGAGGCATCAAAACCCTATCCTATACTAACATATACACCTATCCCCTACTGACACCATGACAACCAACCGACAAAGAAGCTTAGCGCTCTGCCAGCTGCACTCCTGTGTCCCACATCGCCATTCAATCGTGCGCTCAACCAAGCGTCTGTGACCTGAATTACATTGCACGCTCTCCATCCCAAAACCATGTTGTGCCAAACCATTCACGACACATATTGTGTTTGGGTCACCGAATCCCACTGTGGCCCAGGAATTGCCCGTCAGGTGAAATGTTTTTCATACAACAAGCAATACCTAGTTTGCTGTAGTTAATCGAAATCCATGTGCAAGCAGAGCCCAATTGTGAGATACCTCACTACACATTAGGGTTATGTGGGACACCCCGGAATAGGGTGCGGCATTGCACCTTAAGGTGCTTGTATCATAGCTGTACCTTAGGGTTTTCATTAGGGAGAGGGGGGTCCTTATGGGCCTTACAAACCATACTAGGAAGCACAAGGGCCTTCTTAGGCGCGGCCAGCGGTGGCATGGTCTCAGTAACGATTATTAATAACACCGGGAGGCAGATGGGCATGCGAAACATTTGAACAAACAAGCATTCGAATGGGATGTCACCAGATTCGAATCTAGCGACTCTTTTCGAGTTCCCGGGTAGGGCACCTATAAATATAGGCGCCCCTGCCCATCTAGATGTAAGAGTTCTTGTCATGTCTCCTCGCCTTTCCTGGCTGGTCCGCGAGTCGAACGGGGCATCGCAGGCCGGGCACCGACCAGCCAAACCCCCTCCCGAAAACCACCCGTCACAGCTGGACCCCGGATCGAATGGGGCATAGCTAGCCAGGTCTCGACCAGCCAGAATACATCCTCTTACTGGTTTTGGAGCCAGACCCCCGACCCGAGACAGACAGAGGCCTGTCCCTACACGGACCCCAAGGAGAGTACGGAATATGGCTAGGGAAACTACCGGGAATGAAACAACACCTAGCTTGGTTGGACTTGACCCACGGCAGGAGGCGGCTGGACGTCAAAGAGACGACAGATGTGGAATACGTCCCGAGGGCGGCATGACGGGACATCAGGAAGACGTCAATTGCATACCAAGCCCTGGGGGCAAAATAGAGGACGAGCGTGGCGGGCACTGTATCCCAACAGAAATTCGTTGAGGAGCAACGTGAAGCCGTTGAGCTCCAAGAGACGAGGACAACTGCGGCGGGCGCTATATCCCTGCAGAAATTCGTTGAGGAGCAGCATGAAGCCGTTGGGCTCCAAAAGACGAGGACGAGCGTGGCGGGCGCCATATCCCGGCAAAGTTGCATGAAGCTTGGGCGTTGAGGGGACGCCAGCTGCAACATACGCCCCGAGGGCGGTACGGCAGGACGTCAGGAAAGCGTCAACCGTGTAACAAGCCCCGAGGGCAAGGTTGGAGAGTGCTGAGCGCTGAAGAGCACCAGCTGTGTGGCCAGCCCCGAGGGTAAGGTTGGAGAGCGCTGAGCGCTGAAGAGCACCAGCTGTGTGGCTAGCCCCGAGGGCGAAGTGCTGGCCAAGCACCACCAAGAAAGTGCCGAGTGGAACCTCTGCCAGCTTACGATCCAGTTTTACAACAAACAGAAATAGTAGACGAAGACTCCAAAGACTCGCCATCCAGATTGGCTGGGAGTGATGATTTTCAAAATCAAATCAAATTGATGGCTTTCTTACCAATACGGCAGAAACCAAGTGCGACCCAATGACAACAGCTGGCGACCCTAACGACCTTTCATATACAGTGGCTGAAAATGGCAATCATGATGAGCTGCCGATCGGGGTGGCCGAGGATGACGACCTCGACAGCTTGCCGTTTAAAGTGACTGAATCTGACGTATCATCCGAGGATCATGGCGATTTCGACGACCACAAGTCCAACGACACAATGCAGTGCTGCCGAGGAAGGACAGCCGCCGAATGCGACCAGCTCGCTCGTTTGGAATACCTAGATGATTATTTCCAAGCTTTCAGCCTCAAGGAACGGCAGCTCAGCTCGGGAGCATTGAGTTGCACAACTGACCCGGGCAATCACCAGTGCGAAACGAGGGTTGAGACGAGCAGCGAAGTTGCACTGCCAAACGGCAGCCAGTTAGGGCGTCAGGACCCAAGCCAGTGTGTGGACAACAAACGAAACACAGTTGATGTAGGTGTGCAAGTTACTGGCTGTCTTGAGGAACCAATGAAGAGGAAGACCAGTAAACGACCCTCAAGGGAGGGTAGCCAGAAAATCGCATCAGCACCCACAGAGTCCCACTCTGCGACTCCAGCAAATGAGTCTGCCTGGGGTTCGGACCCGGCTGTCGCCCTTCGGAAGGCCAACCCAAGCTGGTGCCATGCAAGAGTTACTGCATTGCTCGCTGTCCTATTTGACACTCCAGCCAGGATGGGCAGCCTAGCAGCCTGGCGAGCGCTCTATCGGGATATACGGGACAGAGCCTATGCCTGGGGAACCAGCGGAGAGGGCGTCGACACTACATTAGCAAAGCTGCAGTGTGATCTGTGCCACAACGACTTAGGAGGAGCACAAAACTCAGCGGATTGACAGCGAGTGTACGCCGACATACTACGATGAAACGAAGGAGCTGCAGAAGAACCGAGCAACCTAAGGAAGGGGGCAACTGCCAAACTGGATGACCATCAAGAGCAAGGAGCTGTGCGAACTGGGCGGGTGGTCACACGTTCCATGACCAGATTGGAGAGGGTCCAAATGGCAGCCGCGAAGGAACGACCAACCAGAGACGACTGGAGTGAATACCGCGATGGCTGGAGGGATTACTATGATGACACCAGCGACGGGACCACCGAACCCGATCAGACTACACCTGGTGAGCCCGAGGGATACGGGACGCCCAACAAGGATGTTGCGGAAGGAAGCCATGAGTGCACCAACATCGACACCATGGGAGAGCTAGAACGGGACAAGGATAAATTGTGTAGCGCATAGCGGCGGCTCTCTCCCAGCCAACCAGTGGGCCCACGTCTCCCGGCCGCATTGGGGAGGCGATTGGATCGCGAAAGTGTGACGCACTGTACATATGGAAAAAAAAACGTGCGAAGGAAAGGAAGTGACCAGACTAGGTAAAATCAAAATGCATTTCTGCAAACATGTTCCCAGAGTGATCGGACCGAGTGGAAGCATAAATTATGCATTTTCACAAACGAGTTTTTAGAATAAACGCTCACAGGGGTGTTTCGCTGCAAAGGGGAAGGAGTGTAAGATACCTCACTATGCATCAGGGTCATGAGGGACACCCTGGAATAGGGTGCGGCACTGTATATTAAGATGCTTGTATTATATCTGTATATTTGCGGTTTTATTAGGGAAAAGTGGCCTTCGTGGGCGTTACAGACCATACTAGAAAGCACTAAGGGCGTTCTTAGCCGCGGCCAGCCGTGGCGTGACCTTGGTAACGATCAGCAATAACACCGGGAGGCAGACAGGCGTGCGAAACATTTCAACAAACAAAACATTCGAACGGGATGTCGCCAGATTCGAATCTGGCGTGTCTTTTCAAGTTTCTGGGCAGGGCACCTATATACATAGGCGCCTCCGCCCATCCAGATGTAAGAGATCTTGTCGTGTCTCCTCGCCTCTCCCAGCTGTTCCCGATTTGAACGGGGCATCGTAGGCCGAGCCCCGACCAACCAAAACCCCTCCCGAAAACCACCCGTCACTGCTGGAACCCCGGTCGAACGAGACATAGCTAGCCGGGTCATGAGCAACCAGAACACATCCCCTTACACCAATCATCTTCAAACTGACGAAGAGGCAATGGCACCCTTGCTACATACATTCACAAAACCCGGTGGAGGAGATGTCTTTTCATCGACGTGTTGCATTCTGCCTAGCTGCATAAGTAGTGGGATTCTCATTTAACTCCCCGTACATTCCACTGTCAAGTTTATATAGTAGAGTAATGACTCATATTGTTGCTAGGGAATACTCACATGAAGCGCCTGAACCACATTCACCGCCGGTCTAACAGTCCTGGCATGCAGCCTCACATGTATGTATTTACATATATGCGAGCCCGAGCTTGTCTGTCAAGTTGCCTTGCTTATCGGGCTCCAAGTTCCAACACAACTTTCCTTGCCAACAGACGACCGCTCACGCTGCCTATGGTTGGGATTGGAAGTCACCGTGATGCCGCAAATATACATTTCTGCGTGTTTTCATGGTTCAAGTATTGATTGAGTGTATATTGCATGAATCAGAAATTGCATGTGTCACCATTTTGTCGAGCACTGTCGGTTGCTCCTACACTTCACCGACAGGTGGAATTGATATCAACACAATTGTGCTCAGTGTTGTGTGCTCCTTCAATTTTTTGTAAACTCACAATCGATGAACAGCTAATTATTATTTTGTCCAGCATGGTCCAAAATGATGGGAAAATCAGTGGTACTGAGCCGTTTCAGATATGTTAGTAGTGCAGTCTAACATATTGTTGCTGGCACTGTGGTGATTCTTTCTTGTTACGCAGCCACGCAATGACCACCGTTTCAATGAAATCGACATGAGCTATGACCATATGTCCAAAACGTCGATGATCAACAGTAAACAACTCACGACTTGCTCCAAAACATCCCTCATGCATTTATTTT